GCGGCACAAGCTGCACAGCAGGCCGCACAAGCTGTCCAGGCTCAAGCTGCACAGCAGGCTGCACAAGCGCAAGCGGTTCAGGTTCAAGCTCAGGCACAAGCCCAAGCTCAAGCGCAAGTGCAGGCTGCTGCTGCTGCAGGCAACAGCGCGCCAGTTTACGCGCAGGCCCTGAATGCTCAGGCGCAATTGATGGCGCAAGCACAGGCGGCCCAAGCAGCTGCTGCGGCGGCTGCCGCAGCGGCTGCTGTGGGCAACGCTGGCCGAGTGGGCGTGGACGTGGGCGTAGGGGCGCCGCACGCCGCCGCGTACGCCGCCGCCGCTGCCGCCTCCGAAGCCGTCAGCAGCAGTAATGGGGGGCAGGGGGGCCACCCGCAAGCGAAGAAACGCGCCCGGGATGCTGACTCTGACCTGTTACACCTGGTACTACTACTACTTACTCTACTAGTGCCTGCCTCTATCTGCTTATTATAAATATTAGTGTTCTTACTATTATTTTTATACATACACATTATTCTTTATTTATCTACATTTATTGGCACCTACTTCACACCATTACATATGCAACAGATGTTGCTATCACTACTTTACGACATGAACATCATCGTCAATAATAGGATGTGAACTTGTCATTATACATACAAAGACACATGTGCATGCACGTACGCAGACACACACGCAGACGCATCCATAAATTAATGCAAAATAATTAGTGATGACGATGATTATGGTGACATTGTCACTAGTTGGACTGAGCGAGCCTATCATGTTCGTGTTCATGCGACAATTTAATTCTATTAGACCATTCTTTTGTTTTAAATGTATATCACAAATTATGGAATGGAATCAATATTAACAAAAGTGACCGAGCGCAATCCCGCTAACCAGCTATATCTAGGTAAATACGATGCACACTGCACAGTTGCTTACTCCTATTATTATTATTATTATTATTATTATTATTATTATTATTATTATTATTACTACTACTATTATTAATATCAGTATTTATTATATAATACTTGCCAACCAGTTTAGTATAGTTTACACCATAATAAGGGACTTTCAAGCAGCAAACTAACTCTTAGTGCAAGCTGACATAATAATAGTTCACATGCCACTTTGCTTTTCAAAATGTTCAGATTACTTCTTTAATGATTATGTAACGTTCAGTCATTACCTAATGTCGCTTTCAAAAGCTCACATCACACACTCTGTTTAGGGTGCCCTCTCTAGGCCCCTGCAGCGCTGCAGTCGCCGCAAAAAAACAAATCTGGCAACGAATCCACCTCGGGGGCTTCTGTCCCTTGTATTAAACACAACAACAACCCACTCAAACGCCATGCTTCGACTCAGGACTTAATTTTTAGTGGAATAACTAGGCAACAGAATTAGAAAATAGCATAATAATGATGACTAAATACTATGCCAGACACTAATACCATTAAGGTAAATAATTTTTGAGCTGTTTGAATTTAAGTTAGACCTTGAACGCGACAATTCATAAACCCACTGACTCACCTACCCACATGTTTAATATTCATAATATTTATTTAATATATCCAGGGCTTTATATCTGTTGCACGTGGAAACGGACTAAATCCCTTGATATCTCTATTTATTTATCTTTTTCCATTTACTGTTAATTACGCAAATGATGAAAATATTAATCGTAATAATAACAATAGTAATGCGGATGTTCGCGGGAAGATGCTCAGTAATGCTGCTACCGCCGCTGCAACTGCCAATTGCCGCTGCTCTGCCGCTCGAAGCTGTCAATCAATCAATCGATGATTGAATCAGTCAGTCAGTTTCCTATCTTAAAAAGCCCATTAGTGAATTATAAAACCCTTATTCACAAGATCAACCTAACCCTGTCTAAAAAATGACTACTCTCGATGTGAGAACAGCTGGTTGCTGCTGTTCTTTGCATGTTACTGACCGACAAAATGCGAGTGTCAAGACAAACACGCTAATAAATTAGAAACGCCAATAATTATCATTGGGCCAAAATTAAGATGTCGTTTGATTCACAATTGGCCACGGTTTACGATAGCTCAAATTTCGCAGGATAATGCTAGTATGCTTATTTAATAAATACTATATGTCCTGAATGTTAGGAATGCGGGAAGGTTAATTGTCTGATAATGCGATACATCAGTAATTAGTATAGTCGTTATTACATCATATATTATAGCATGGTTAAGTATTGTTCGTTCCTCATAGCCACCTTTCCATTTTGTGTAAACGTTCTGATGATAAGTGGTTATTTATTCTAAATGATTATCCAATCGTTCAAAAATACTGTTGTCTCCTCGAATGCTGAACGTGTGTTCGTATGAGTTTCCTGCCTTACTTTTTTGTTAGTTGTTTATCAGTCAGTTGGACGACCTTAGTAACAACCGAGCGACCATGACGCCCTGTTTACCTTTCTGGTACAGAGTAAATGAGCGTACTGAAGGATCAAAACGAAATGATTATATAATAAATAATAATAATAATACATAGTGAATTATGACGATGACTATTTAGATCGGTAATGTAGTGGAATGCTGTAGCAACGCGTTTAGTTCTGGAACCGTGGATGTATGTCTTCGTATTCGATGTCGCGCTGTCGTCGCTCGTATAAAATAATATTGATTAGACATGAATTTGACCATGTGTACTATATTGTTTACAAATTAGGTTTCCGCTCTCTCAGTTTGAGCGTCAGCTACAGAGACCTCGTTTCATCAGTTCAATGCAAAGTTATTGACGAGTTACTGATAACACAGTGCTATTAATGCGTCATCAGTTCGCATTTTTTAAACTCGTAACTATCGATAGTGAAGCCATTGCGGTAACTCAAACGTCGTAAGCAGCCGATAGACAGGTCTGGCCTGCTGCATGACAAATAAGCCTAAAGGTACAGTAAGCCTGCCACACCCGCCGGCCTTACTGCGGTGCAAGAGCAGCCTTGCTAGCGTCTTCCTAGCGAAGACCCGAAGCCCTACCGTCCCTCCATGGAGTGATGTGTTCCGTCTCCGATTGGACTATTGCTGAGTCTTCTCATTTTTTGGCCTTCATTGCTACAACTACCCATGATCTGGTTGGGATACCACGCCACGTAGAGATTTAGTCAATCACTTTCGGTTTACTTTGCAGGCCACCCTGCCGGGAATGGTGCAGTACAAGCGGCCTGCACTCGAGAAGAGCGGCTTGCCCGAAATGTTGTCCTAAAGCATGGCCAGAAAAAATGTTTGTTTTAATCACTTCTTTTTATCTTTCTGAAACTTAGCTTGAGAACACTTGTTTAAGTTTTAACAACTTTTCTCTGTGAGGGAACTCTATCCTGGGACGTGGCCAACGAGAACTTCTTTGAGTTTTAACAAATATAATGTATGTAAGGTTCTGTTTTGAAATATAGCTAAAAAGATTTCCTTGACTTTTAACAACTTCGTTGTATACGGAAATTTTGTCCTGAAGCTTGACTAGAGGAAGCTTGTTTGAGTGTTAGCAACTTCTTTTTGTATGAAGAAACTCTGTTCTGTGACTTGGCCAATGGGGGACTTATTTGAGTTTCAACAACTTCTTTGTATGTGGTAATGTTGTCCTAAAGCATAGCCAGAAAAAAACGTTTGTTTTAATCACTTCCTTGTATCTTTCTGAAACTTAGCTAGAGAACACTTGTTTAAGTTTTAACAACTTTTCTGTGTGAGGGAACTCTATCCTGCGATTTGGCCAACGAGAACTTGTTTGAGCTTTAACAAATATAATGCACGTAAGGTTCTGTTTTGAAATATAGCTAAAAAGATTTCCTTGACTTTTAGCAATTTCGTTCTATGCGGAAATTTTGTCCTGAAACTTGGCTAGAGGAAGCTTGTTTGAGTGTTAGCAACTTTTTTTTGTATGAGGAAACTCTGTTCTGTGACCTGACCAATGGGGGACTTTATTGGTTTTACCAACTTCTTTGCATGTGGAAATGTTGTCCTTAAACATGGCCAGAAAAAACGTTTGTTTTAACTACTTCTTTGTATGTGGAACTTCTGTCCTGAAACTTAGCTAGAGAACACTTGTTTAAGTTTTAACAACTTTTCTGTGTGAGGGAACTCTATCCTGAAACGAGAACTTCTTTGAGTTTTAACAAATATATTGCGTGTAAGGTTCGCTTTTGAAATATGGCCAAAAAGATTTCCTTGACTTTCAACAATTTTGTTGTAAGTGGAAATTTTATCCTGAAACTTGGCTAGAGGAAGCTTGTTTGAGTGTTAGTAACTTTTTTTTGTATGAGGAAACTCTGTTCTGTGACTTGGCTGGTGGGGGACTTATTTGAGTTTTAACAACTTCTTTGTATGTGGTAATGTTGTCCTAAAGCATGGCCAGAAAAAACGTTTGTTTTAACCACTTCTTTGTATCGTTCTGAAACTTAGCTAGAAAACACTTGTGCTTAAGTTTTAACAACTTTTCTGTGTGAGGGAACTCTATCCTGAGACTTGGCCAACGAGAACTTGTTTGAGTTTTAACAAATATATTGCATGTAAGGCTCTGTTTTGAAATATGGCCAACAAGATTTCCTTGACTTTTAACAATTTTGTTGTAAGCGAAAATTTTGTCCTGACACTTAGCTAAAGGAAGCTTGTTCGAGTATTAAAAACTTTTTTGTATGAGGAAACTCTGTTCTGAGATTTGGCTAATAGGGGACTTATTTGAGTTTTAACTTCTTTGCATGTGGAAATGTGTCCTAAAACATGGCCAGGAAAAGAAACGTTTGTTTTAACCGCTTCTTCGTATGTGGGACTTCTGTCCTGAAACTTAGCTAGAGAACACTTGTTTAAGTTTTAACAACTTTTCTGTGTGAGGGGTGGATCTCTATCCTGAGACTTTGCCAACGAGAACTTGTTTGAGTTTTAACAAATATATTGCATGTAAGATTCTGTTTTGAAATATGGCCAAAAAGATTTCCTTGACTTTTAACAATTTTGTTGTAAGCGAAAATTTTGTCCTGAAACTTAGCTAAAGGAAGCTTGTTTGAGTGTTAACAACTTTTTTGTATGAGGAAACTCATACAGTGCCAGTGGGGGACTTATTTGAGTTTTAACTTCTTTGCATATAGAAATGTTGTCCTAAAACATGGCCAGAAAAGAAACGTTTGTCTTAGCCACTTCTTTGAAGCACCGGCACATTGGCCAGCCAACTCAAGACGACTAACGTATATTACAAGTTTCAAACGAGTTGAATTCCACGTTAAAATCACGTATATCTATCAAATAAATGAAACATCTTTATTTGTATAATTCGTAAGTAAGGGCAATTTGGCACATAGTCGCCTTAAATATTATATATATATATATATATATATATATATATATATATATATATGCATATTCTATGCTGATTTAAAGCTAATATATTTTTCGTACATTATCTGTATATATTGTTAATCTAGAAAGCGGCAAATTTTTGTATATATATATATATATATATATATATATAATATCTATGTATATATTACCATTTAGAAAACAGACCTCGCCTGTTTTTACGTGGCAAAGTACTACCATAATTTGCAGACAGAAGACAATCCATTCCTTTGAAGCACAAGAAAAAAGGCGTTCCCCTTTAGTTGTTTCCCTTGCTCTGCAGTGAAAACAGAATAACATGGGTAAATTACCTACTGACTCACACATGGTTATTGTAGCATTGCTATTCTACACTAAGTTCTTCTCAGGTGGTTCCGTTGGATGGAAGGTTCGGTGCAAAATGACGGTGCTGCAAAAACGGCCACAAGAATTTTTACATCAAGTAGTACCCTAAATACGATTTGAGTAGCTATCTTGTCAACAAGCTATCTGATTATTCATTCAGTAGACATCTACAGCTCAGAGGGCAGCCTATATGAACTAGAACTGCGAACCGCAACATCTTATATATAATACAACAATTCGTCGCGGAACAGCCATTTGCATAAGCTTCGCTACTAAGGGAGACGCAAAAGGGAAGTTGACAGTTGTATTGAGAATGCCTTACACACCTTCGATGAGCAAGTTTTTTCAAACAAATTCCAACGACACTGGCGTAGCTTTGGCTTCATAGTCACCGAGATCAAAGCGAAGAAAGAATTTTTCAGTAGTTCCTAGCTGAGTAAAACCTTATATTTTATTGCAAATAAACGGTTTTCGATAATTTCTTGGACCCTCTACGCCTACGTGGAGTTAGAAAGTTCAAGCTCTAAAAAAGGATACCCTTACTAAATCTGTGCGTCATCCACATTAAAAGCTATTGTACTGAAAAATAAAGACGAATGATGCCCGCGAGAAGAAACAAATAGCTGTTTTCAGTTCGCATTGCTATTGAAGATACTAGCAAAGGTGACGTTTGGCTATATAAGTTTGCCTAGATTATCGTATGATCGACGGTGTTCCGCTTTTATCTGAAAATTTCCACTTTTATGACTAATACTTCATTATATCTAGCCGATATTTCAACTAATCGATAAAATCCACCAGATAAAATCTATTGTCGTGGTATTTGAAACGTTCTATTGTGATTCGAGTGAACAGTCTAATGGTCGCTTTAACGAAACGAGTAAATTTTCATTAAAATTTTTGATAACATTAGAATAAAATATACTTAATTTGAAAGTCACGGCTTTTTCTTGATTCAGTTTTAATTCTGTAACTGAAGCAATTATGTCTCGAGGCTCTGCTAGTTTTTTTTAGACCTCAGTAAATTTCAGCGTATCAAATATTTCAGAAAATTGATATGATATTATGAACTTAAATAAGAACGTGTCAAAGAAACACATTACTAAAAACATATATTTTGATGCCAACTATTTCGTTAACTACGCATATAAACTATGCAAGCAATAACTGTATATTTTCTGATTTTTGGGGTACATAATAATCACAACGCTTCAGGTTTACGAGTTAATAATAGCGTGCATCATTAGCTAGGTCAAGTCTACGATAAAAGATGACGCTATTCGATATTAAACGGGCTTAATAGGACTAATGAAAAGAGTCAAATTGGTTTTCTTCGTTTCAGTCTGCTTTATATATAGGGTGCTTACACAATAGAATCGTTCTCAGATTTATTTTGAAAATAATCGGGTTTAGGGAAAAAATTTGAGCACACAAATTATCGGGAACCGTAATGCAAAGATTTATCATATGTCAAAAAAAAATTCCCGAACACAAATATGTAAGTGTCTCTATATGCAGGAAAATTACTTGGGCGTCTTGTACTAATTATTTTTTGTGCAAACCCATAATCGTTTTGAATCCAAAAATATCAGATCTGGCTCGCAGATGAACACTTAAATAGTAGCGTTTAATTGATTTTGCTAAGATTTTCAACATTATTTAGAAGGTTCAATTTAAAAAGTATGATGCCAGCTGATGGAAGGTAGGCTTTTTGTTAAAAAAAAAAAAAAAACTACCTATTATAATTTAGTTCTGTCATTTTCAAGATTTGAGTCTAGAAAAAATATTGTAGACAGACAAATAGGCTAGCACCATAAAATCTAAATATGCACCAGAATAACAGCTTCGATAGGAGAAAAATCGATCTGCGCACCTAAAATGGTTTAAATGAAAAAAAAAGGACGATATCATCAAACTGTGATAGAAAGTATATTTAATTTCAAAGTATGGTTCTGTGTTCAAATTTTCATATTGAAACATTGCTCTGATGTAAATGATCCTAAACCACTCCTATCCACCCCTGCCTATACATATATAAGCAACGTTCTTCTATAACGCACGTTCTACTTATCTACTACGTTAGTACTTCACGTGTCTGGACTTAAATTTCTGACAAATAGCGTAATACGTAAAACCGACATATCGTGTTTCAGCGAGCGCAAGTATGATAGATTGCTTTAATCGGATCTTAGCAGGACCAGCTTTACATTTCGTGCTGATATCTCGTACTATGCACGGCCGGTACGAACACACTCACGACGATAAGCAGTGCCGAACAACTAAGTGGTGGTGCTAACTAGATGAGATTGACTACTTGGAGTTTTTTTTCATATGTAAAGTGTCGAAATTGGAAAAAGAACAGATGTCACTGAAGAGTAGAAAACACTGGTTAATAGACTGCTGCATTAAAATAAATGTACACAATGCGAAACTGCTAAAACTTTTCCATTATGCAGTCCTTAAAACTGAAAGTTAAAGGAAACCCTCTCGTTGTTATCGCATAAAATTGATAACACAAATAAAAAAGTTCTTACTATAAAAAATAGGTTTGCCTCTTAATGCCCTCCAGAGCATACTAAAAAGCCGTAAACCCCCTGTTTGCAAAATTGGACTTCGCCGCCTACTCAAAGAGATTGAGTTCAAGAGTAGTAGTTCTGGCAAGAAACCTTGGTTAAATAATGACGTAAACCCGTTTGGACAAACCATCGGGAACTGGAAAGAGCTTGTTTCTCAAACGAATCTTGAATCATCGGAAAAAATGGCATCACGCCGTCAGGCGTATTGACAAATGATTTCCCGAAAACTGCGTCATGCGAAAGAATAAATATCCTTCAGAATTTATGATATGGTCTATGCTTTCTAACAAAAAGTACTGAGATGATAGATTTTGCATACGGAATATTAAGACATCGCGAATATGCTGAGGTTATCGACACCAGGGTGCTGTTTCAGGTACAAGAACGATTTCCTGACAGTGACCGCGTCTTCGCACACAATGTCATAGAGCTCAAAGTGTTTGAAACGATATTTACTGGCAGCAAGTAACTTAGGTTACTCGCTGCCAATAACTTTCAAATGCTGCTGTAGCTCGCAAATTCGACAGACTTCAGTCTCGAAGAATACGTCTGGAGAATAGTAAAATCATGGATTTGAGAAGTACAGGAAATAACAAGTGTTCTGAATCACCATGAAAAATTAGTAAGATGTAACAACAGAATCTACTTATGACTGGCACAGCAAAAAGAGAATGCCCCAAGAAAGTGGCGCCAAGTGCCGCTGCAAGCAGTGATTAGATGCTAATGTCCGAAGCGATATCGCATCGGTTGCTAGCAATTTAAAAATGTCTTTGTCGGCATGTAAAGGAGTTGAATAATATTGGTTTTATAGTCAAAAACTTTTGAAAATTATTTTCGCTTTATAACTGCACAATTAGTCTTGAAAGTTGAAACTATCCGATTGAGCACCAGTTATATATATATACTTGGCCGTATAACACGCTGCGTCGATGTATATATTTTCAACATGGATACATAAAATATGAGACGTGTTACTAACTAAAGAAACAAATATTCAACGCATATGCACCTGGATGCACTTTTTATCGCGGCTTTGTACGTTATAAAACGGCAGCAGTCGACGGCCCGGAAACTGTGAAGACAAATACGGTTGTATTGCACTCTTATTTTAATACATCGTATTGAACAATACATTTTATTTAATCTGCAAGATCTTCTGCAGGCACGTGGATCGGCATCGCGTCGCTCTATTGACAAACATATTTAGCTGAATTCGTCTGCATCACAGTGCAAGCTAAAATAGCCGAACAAAGAGATAGTCTTATTCATTAATTACTACTGTTATTTTTTGATTCTCCTTAAGAACTGCTCTTTTGTAAAGGTGTTCACTGTGAACATTTTAAAAACAACGTGCAAAACTTAATTGGGGCAGTACAATAATAAACAATAAAGTATTTATTAAAAATAACATCTGATGCGAGAAACATTGAGCTAGCAATCAACAATAGTTTCAACAATTTCAAAGTGAAATACTGTGTAACAGTGGAAATAGTGTTATTGACTTTGTGTGTGTCATGCCAGATATGGATGAATGGGCACAATTACAAAGAGAAACCGCTTTAAGAGTAGTCATTGAAGAAATGTGGAAGGAAATCCCCAGGTTTGTTGACTCCATATTTATTCATAGAGTATATGCCCAAGGACATACAGTAAATAAATGCCGTGAAAACACATCTTACTTGAACCAAGGTAAAGCACGTGTACATCTGATCACCACATAATTTTATTAATATCGTGAAGTTATTCAAGTTACCAGTATTATCTTCAGATTCATATTATTCGTAAACACAATCATGTAAAAACCAATTATTGTTTTCAGAAGCTATGGAAAGGGAATATATACCTGTTATATGAATGATAAAAATGAATAATAATTTAATAGAAAGAGCCGCGTTTAAGTCAACTTTCATATAT